ATGTGTTCTCTTTGAAAAAGCACGCACTACAGACCACAAACCTATCATATTAAGCGTTAAATTTCACACGAGGATATCCCTTTGAAATGACACTTTAATTTGAAACAGCGATTACGTAATTAAATCGAAGAAGTGAATACTTAGAGCATGAAGCAACCAACTCTTCGCTGTCTAGATTCTAGACACACGTGTAGAATTTACAATCTTGATGATTGGTTTTGATTGGCATGGACCCTAAACAAATGCGAAAAACAAGATTTGTTCATAGTCGTAACAACGGAGATTATTTTAATAACATAACCTCAATGTTTCGCGTTTAATATTTTCCGAACCTGAGAATATCATCGCCCCCGATGGTGGAGGCACCGAACACCTCTGAAACGTCGGTAAACTTCTACAAGACTACGGCGCATGTGCTCTCCAGTGTACAGGTAGAGGCCTTGCGACGGGCCGATTCCTCGTCCAAGGAGTCCTAGTTTGCCGGTAACATATACATAGATTTCCCACGTTACGGTACTTAACTTCTCGCGGTTTATTGTAACTACCGAAGTCTACAGAACAGAGCCCTCTTTGAGGAGCTAATAGTAACTCTGTTAGTCGTCATATTCTCCGGTATCATTGAACCCGAAACGTCGTTATCACGTTGAAAGGGGTCCGCCACTGAATCATAGTTTGAGCCACACCCTCAATCCCACATTTCTTGAAGCCAATGCCTTCTATGTGATTTTTTGTCTTCAGGTTTTTCGACCAAAATCTTTTATGCGTTTCACGTTTCTCACATATTTGCTATAGACCCCAGCTTACTATTTTCCTTTTATTTGATTTCCCCGAAATTGCCCTGTATGGTAAAGAGTGAAAATTGTGAAGTTCATTATGTAGTTTCTTACAGCCTTCTGTCGTGTTCGCCCTCTTAGATCCAAATATTTTCCTTGATACTTACTTTTTTAATATCTTTATCACGTTCCAGGACGACTTTCCAGCATAATTCAAACTGTACAAATTTAAGATCTACCGAACTTTGCGTTTCGCTGATTCTGATATCTAGTATCGAACTGCAGTTCTTCGGAATCCTCCTCGGTCTTTGCAGGAAAATACTGAGATTGTACATTAAAATAACCAATGTGCATTTTCTCCCAGAGCCTTTCCAGTTTATCATTTATTAACATTCTACCATTAGACGCTTTATAACCAATTCAGTTTTGGAAAAAAGTCTTTAAATAACTCAAGAACACTCAAAACGTTAGGCTATGCCTGTACTTGAGATCATGCATTCGTGAGCATCCATTTGTGCCATCGATACTGGACAAGTGAGTGGTTAGTTTCAGACCACGGAGGCTTTACTCCGTCAGCAAGGAACCCTGGCTGCAGTCCGGAAGCTATCTTACATCTTTATTGAAGATGTACAATGATACCAGCAGCTGAAGTCTTTTATATCACTCTGGAAGCTCGTCGGAACTTGACGTACATGAGGGTCAGATGGTATCAACCAAATTCTATGGAGTTCTTTTAGAAGAAAACTTTCAGACAACACAAGATTCTTCTTCGTATTTAATATTTTATGTTGTTTCAGATGACTTTCGTTTCGTAGTTCTGTCAATCACCTCCTCTTACGCTACCAAAATTCCATCATTTTCACGTTTTATCCACTGACCCGCAGAAAAAAAAGGCCAGTGGAGTTGTCAAGTTGATGCGACTTGAAAGACAAAGATGACAGTGTGACTAAAACTCGATTTCTTAGAGAAAAATTCCACACATGTTGTGTACTTTATCGTTTTTGATTCCTTTCTTATCACGCGGAAATAAATTCGTTTTCCGTTTACTTTATTCAGATTATACCGGGCTCTTCCTTACCATAGGTTCTGCCACAGCTCAACTTCAGTGGACTGAATCATGACCGTATAATCATCATATTCGAAGTTCGTCACACAGCGACTGTGTTTGCTTCAAGTTCTCAGTCAACATTGCTATAAACCTTAATCGCCGGGTAAATTTTGAGCCCGTGACGTTAACTTTATGAACAGAAACAAATAAACAGTTAGGATCGTCCTTCTATTTCGCTTACCTCAGGCTCTGCGTATCACTAACCTTCATTTGTTACACTTGCGAATTATTTTTTGTTTATTTAGTGTTCTGTCTGACGACAGGTCCATATGAACAGGATCCTTCCATCCTTTTCTCGGACTGGGACCTGTTCATATACGTTCTTGGCAGATGATCCAGAAGTGGTTTGCCATTGCCTTCTTCTGTGTGTGAATAGAGTAATT